AACTATTGCTTTTATTATAATTACACGGGAGCACAAATAAATAAGCACAAAAGTATTGTAAAATATTGTCAATGCACTAAAGAAATCAATTTGTTTTCAAACAACATCTGGTTACTTCAGTAGTATCAAAGTACATTTATAATTACATGTTACCTAAAAAAATCAAGTACAAAAATTAAGAGACATTAAAACATCAGTGTTTATATTATTATGTATATATAAATGGCTAAGTAACACACAAGTAGAGAAATCTTTTATCTAATGCTTATTTGCACATTTTTTCAGGCACATACCTGACATTTCTAATGAGTTATGAAAAATGTGATATGACATTCAGATTCTTAAATATGGTAAACATGTTATATTGGAATGGATGTTAAATGGTTTTCTTTAAAAACCCTGTCTTTAAAAAATGTAGTGCCATTAGCCACTAAAAAACATATTATTTTATACCATTGTTCATAGTTATTTGTTTCAATTGTTTGAAAAGAGCAATAAAGTAAACATACAATTGCTAAATACGTAAACACGTCTTCAGTGCAAGATAACAAGACCTGTGACTTTACTGTGCTTTTTTTTTTTTAATAATCACAGTGCACTTTACACAAATTGCTACGCTATAAATGTTAAGGAGTTCCAAACAAAAGAAGTGCATTACTAAACATTTCCATATATATTATTTATATACAGTATGTATTCTCTATGGAGGTGTACATGTGTAAATATAGATGCTTTTAGGGTGGGCAAACCCAGTTGTATTTGGGAACAACTGAATCCTTTGAAGGATTTTCACATGTTTGGTTGTGATTAATGCAAAGATTCTTTAAAGGTGTTTCCCCTTAAATTTGAAACTTTACAAGATTTAAAGAGAAATATAATCAATCATTTTTTCCAAACTATATATATATTTTGCTACAGTGAAATTGACCCAAATATCAAAGGGTTTTAAATCATCCTAACCCCAAGCCATAATGTTCAAGTCTAACATGGCAAAATGTGTCATCCTTTCATTGATTTACATAGACAGTAGTATATATTGTACGTGTACATACAGAGGCTTACACATAAACATGTTTTATACTTAGACATTAAATTTAGTATGTTTTAGTATTTTGACTGTACACTTGAGCTGAAGAAAATGAGAATGCTATATAAACACATAAAAGCTGTTAAACATATGAAACTGTGTATCTTCTAAAAACTGGCTTTATTTTGAAAACATTAGTGATTGCATAATTTACCTCCTTGAAGGCAAGGATCACATCTTTTTCCATGTTTAATTCCAAGTGCTTGAGAAACTTTTAAAAAAATGATTAGTAAGTTGCTCAATAATGAACAGCTAAAGAAATAATGGGATAAGAGCAAATTGTCCATATTTTTCAATTAACTCTCTATTCTCCCATAGAAGGAAGATGTAGTGAGATCATGTCAACACTACAGGTACAGTTTTTCTTTTATTTCCACTTACGTTCATGACACAATGCATTGTGATGCTAGTCTACCTTGTACTCTACTGCAAGTATGAGTTACCCTTCATCTCAGAATCGCATACTATTTAAATCATTTCTTGATTTCTCACATAAGCATAGTCATTTTACAAACTCTACCGACTTGCTGTACCATGTAGGTGATATGAACTTGTAGTTTGTATACACATTGTTCTGGTGTCTCAGTTAGAACAAAACCTAGTAAGGTCATTTAGGTTTGATTGATTTGATTACTAAACAACTCAGTCAAAAAAATCAAACCAAATTCTTTATGTCAAGACCCACACCTATGTCAAAATCGAGTAAGAAAAAACAATTTCTGTTTCTAGAAGCAATCAAAAAAATCGTTCACTATTTTGAAACAGAGTCACTATGTTCAAAAGTGAAGTGGTGTCTAATTGTATTCAATCACTGTGCATTTGAAAGCGTGTATATACATATATAACAGAGGGATTTTAGTCTCGTGGTGTTGTGTTCTACTCTGTCAATTATTTAATATGGGTGAACATGAACCTTTATTAATGCAAGTCCATCACTTTTCACTCCAAATTTGCTTCATTAGCACAACTGAGGGGAAAATGTTGGCAGTGTCTTCGTGAGGGACCACTGTAATACCACAGGTAGTCGACTTAGGCTTCTCTGACTGGGAAAAAACGCAGTATTTCATTTTTCCCTTCCATCATTTTTAAAGAAATTTGTTTCTTCTCTGCTAAGAAGTATTTCACAAATAAAAGCATCTTGCTGACAGCCAATAAAATTCTATTTCTATAGAATTTGCTGTTAAAAAAGATTGTTTTTTATAGATCTGAGCTCTTTCAACCTGATAACTGTGCCATGATATGATTTGTTCTTTGGCACTGCTGAAAGTATGAGCTTTATCATGGCATAGTGTACTGCCTGCAGGTTATCTTCTGACCAGATTCACACAGGGAGGTGTCCTGATTTAGTACTGTCAGAGAGTCAGCTTACCTTTCTCTCTATGCTAATGGCCCCCATTTCTTCATATAGAGAAATACCATGCACTGAGGAAATTGACTAGAGAATGGCTCTTGCCACCATGGGCAACTCTATATTGTATAGGCACAGAGTAACAGAGGTCACTTTTCCAGATATTTCAGTTACTTTCCATGTAGGGAAACATCTAGAGAAATAAATGGAAGTGTTTCTCTAAGGTCAAACTTTCAAACCTCCTCAGAAAAGAACTTTTGAAAGAGAAGTGCATGAAATCTTGCCATAGCATATGTTGGATGGAACAAATGGGAAGGGCTGAGTTCAACATGAATCAATCTTGACAAGTATATGCTTCTTGTAAAGGGACTGGCATTTAAAAATATTTTCTGCCTAATTCAGAGAGATATGAGCAAGATCAGCATCTGAGAAATACACCTGTATCTCCTAATAGGAAGGTGTTACCTAAATATAAATTTTGAAGGAAGAATAATCTTTAACATACTAAGCCTAAATATATAGATCATAAAGAAACTAAAAATCGATGTCTTATATTTGACTGATTGGGTTGTATATGTGTAGTCGTGATCATTTAAGTGAAGATAACATAAACACATTGTATCCAATTATTATTTTATCTTACACATTTTCATTATTCATAAATTTGTGATCCATTGATTATTGGGTTTGAAATACAATCTATAGCTGATGAAACATGGAAGCAGGATTCATTTAAGCTACTTATGACCTTTCTGAGATATCCTGTATTTATGATTCTGCTTTTTTCAACACCTCACTTATACAAGCAAAACCTAAATCTTCAGTAAGAATTTTATGTATACAATTCTTTTGCACACATGCGTGCACACACACACACACACAAATACACACTTGCTCCCACTTACCTTTTCCTTTATTCTTTCAGAATTCTAATTGGACATCAAAATATACATTAATTATAAAACTCTAAAAAATTATGTTATAGCATTTCAAAGGCTCTTGAAAGAAACTATTACCAATAAAGCATTACTAAGTTTCTGTCAATATAGATTACAAAAATTCCCCAACTCCTGTTATATTTGGTTTTATTGAGCAGCATGGTACTATTGCTGTCAATACCCTTACATGGAAAACTACTGTGACAATAACTTCAAACACACACTTTTTCTCTGAGAAATATAATACTAAATTGATTGTTAACGAAGAACCACATACTGTCAATTTTAGGAAGCATAAATAGTAATTTAAATATACAAAATATATGTGATACTTTCCTTTTTTATTTATCCGTGGCAACATTTATATTCAACTAACAAATTACTTTTAAAAGATATATATGATTTTTTTAAAAAAAACTTAAATTTCATCACCACATAAAATCGAATCCACCTTATCCTCTATCCCCTGCATTTCCTGTTTCTTCCTTGAAACAAAATAAAGAAGTGATCATCATTCTTTGGTCATGGAGTCATAATTGGTCAGAATGGGTGTGATGGTCATGTACGGATTATGACCCCAAAATTGGATAATTAGTTTTAAAAAAGCAAGAAATACTTTTTCATTAATGGGATTAAATTTTGAGAAAGATTGGCATTTAGTGTACGTAGATATGTAAACTAGTCTAGTTGAATGTTTGTTTCTTTTTCTAAAGGAAACAATCATGCACATGAAAGGTTACTGATGGCGTGGCCACAATGTCAGTGGCCTCATGTGCTCCACAGCAGTCACCCTCACCAGCATCTGACTCCTTATTCCTTCCATTGTCACAGTGAACCCTGGTCTCCTCCAATCAGATCCATGATGATGCAAGGACACATGTCCCTAAAGTCATTTGTGAAGGAAAAATTTCCTGCTGGGATGTCCAAATATATCCTAAGAACTTTCTCTGTAGTCTAACCATTTTTTTATTTTAAAGAATAGGATATTGAAGAGAAATTCTCATGAAAGAAAAATATTGGTGTCAATGTAATATGGATGTCTAAGTTAACATCACATTTGCATTCATTTCCTGTCAAACCTTGAGAAACTTAAAAAGCAGCAGATGCTCTTCACAAATATGATATTCAATTTTTACATTACTAGCACCAGATCCTATATTATGTGGCTGGATATGATGTGTAGCTGTGAGTTACTATACACAAGCCAAATGTGGGCAGGAGAGAAAAAAAAACATTTTAAATGCAAAAATTAATAGTAAAAGGCATCAAGGGGTTACATATAAAAGAGATAACAAACCAGTTAATACCGAAATTATATCATATAGTAAACTTGATATTTCTGTATTTATATATATATATATATATATGTATAGTGTGTATTATTTCAGGTGTCACCCATAAATTAGTAAAATATTTACAATTTAATATCTTCTGGATTCAAAATAATCCGGGATAAATAATGTGCCTTAATTGCAAAGACATATACATTTTATCTTGTATGTGCCACAAGTAAGCACAGCTTCCTGTGGCATTCCACTCCAACAGAGAAGATATATTTCACGTGACTGGTAGACCTCCCTCTGGGTAGTAAGTAACCAGGAGCTGCCGCCATCCATCCTCCCCAAGCTCAGATGGCAGTGTCCCAGAATACCGTTTGCTGTTTAGAATATGGCGGAGGGCTGCACTTCTTTGCACCTGTGCTCTTCTTCCAGCTGGGTAGGATAGGCATGCTATCCTGTTTGCAAAGGCCCTTTTCCGTTTTCTGTCTAGCCTTTATTTCCTTGCACAAGCAACGCTTTTTCTCAATCATCTCAAGCATTGTATGGTCTCCATGAAACCACTGCATGCAAGCCACCTAGCAGAAAAGAAAGAGTGAATACTGAAGAAAACATGGAATGGAAGCATATTTTGCACTGTTAGTTGTCATTTAGAAAAATGTCAGCTGTTTCTACACCTCCTTTAAAAACTCTCAGAAATGAATGGAAAATACATTAATTCCTACAAAGCAAAATGTAGCCATGGAAACCATTAAAAATCTTTGTTTTGAAATTGGTAAAATCATGATATTATTTAATAATTATTCAGGCATACATATTTTACCAATATGGAAATAAAACTTTTTAAAAATGTTTATCTTTTTAAACAATTTGCTAGATCTTTGCCTTTTCCTTTCACGTTAGCTCCATTGTGTTATTGGTCCTAATAAATCTAAATTCAATTATTGGAATTATTTTTCATTGAGATTTAACATAAATGTGATATGGTGCAAAGATGTTAATGAACATTTTCATTCTTGAAATGAATTTTAAAACCTTAGAATTGTTTATAAATACATGGAATACAATAAATATTTTAAATATTTCTTCCTCTTGAAATGACTTTCAGTGTACACCTTATGTTTGGAATATAAATGCTTCAATAATTCGACTGTAAAGAAGGTTTTGATACTTCAGAGAATGTTGAGTTAGAATCATTGATCTCTACATGGACAAAGATCCTGATTAGTTCCAGAAATAGGAAAAGATTCATCAGGTCAATTGGGTTAGCGGGAGAAAGTTCAGAGTGAACTATGCTTTGGTACGTGCACATGTATTACTAGACAGGTAAACACTAATCCCAGGTATGAGAGGTACAATGTGTGTTAGTAACTTTCATTGGAATAGATTCTGTCTCAAGCAAAAGGCAGTGAGACTGGCCCATGAGCCCAGCTAGGAATGGAGAAGCTTGAATTTAATTGTTTAAGCAAATCTACTCTATGATTTGCAGAGTAAAAGTAGTTCACTTGAAGATACTGAACTTGATGTTACAGAAAAGCAAATACCTAATACTTAATCTATATCAGATCTCATTCTAAGTACTTTGCATGGGTTATTTCATTTATTCCTCACAAGAGAGATGCTCTGAAATAAATACTATTTGGTAGCCCAAATAGTGATGATAAAATGACACTTATATTTTGGACTTTTACCCAAAGTAATAGAGCCAATGATTGGAAGTCAGTATTTGAACAAAAGAGTTCATTTCTAGCACCTGTTCCTTTAACTACACCACGCGGCCTCTCAATGTGTACAGGTAATGGACAGGACTGGGAAGATAAATTGGTACAATGTCTTTAATGCATGAATGAGGAAGCTAAGTCTTCAAGAAGTTGCCTATCTTGCCCAAAGTCAGGCAAGGATTATTTGGTTTGAACAAAACTCATAGAATTATCACCAATCCTAAACCTTTAGGGAGAGGGCAGGACCTAAAGCCAGAAAAATAGAGATTCAAATCCTGGACGTGCCAAATTTCCATTATTCACTCAGCTTCTTTAACTACATTCTTTAACTGAACAATGTAGTTGGCAATACCTCACTTTCAGAAGCTGGTTTGAGGTTTAAAGTGATAATGAAGTCCTTCTCACTTAAAAAAAGTACAGCATTTGCCTATTACTGGCAAAAGCCTGGTAGCTTGACATGTCTGTCTGCCCTCTCTGCAAAGAACTCTATGTGGTGTTACCTCCTCCACACTTCATTGAAAGCTAGGATTTATCTATGCACCACAATTACAAAGCTGAGTGTCAGAAGTTTTAAGGAACTACGTCAATGTCACAGTTATTAAGTGACACCCAGCTGTCTGACTCCAAGGTTGATATTCTTTCTAGTACAGTGTGCTCCATCTCTTGAAAATTATTTAAAAATTATAATAGTTATTATGGTCTATATTGCCATTTCCAGGTGGCATAATGCAAATGTATTTATAGTTTTATTGTGAATAAAAGTGTTAATCTGACTCAAGGAACCAAAAGATGATATTCTTAAATAAATATGTTATAATGTGCCTAACTTGATACAAAGTGTCTTAGAAGGATGGGCCATGTATATGCCTTTTAATGTCCTCTGGTCCCTAGCTTAAGACCTTGGCCATGGACATTCATATTTACATAAAATGATAGGTGTTTGTTGAGTTAATATAATGAACTGTTTTGTGTTCCAACAGGAGATTGACAAAGCAGCTCAAAGATTATTTGAAAGACCTGTGATGTTTTCTAATATCATGACCCATGGAATAAAAATACAGTAACTCTCTTTAGGTGGAAATATAAGAAAAATTTATTGAATGACTATAAACTGTCATAATGGTATGTATAACAAAGAATTCCCAAAGGCAAGACCTTAATCTCATCCATTTTAGAAGTTCAACATGCATAACAAAGTTCTAACCCCTCATAAAAKTATTAATTGTAAAAAACCTATCATCATTGAACAATTTATTTTGCCTATCAAAAAATTCTCCCAATAATCTTATTCTTAATAAAGTCTTGTGTTTGCACATTTCRACATAATTGGAAAATCTCCAAATTTCTTTAAGGCAAATATTCCTTACAGCATCCCCCCCCCATTTGTATTTTATTTATTTTTTCACACAAACATTACATTATGTATTACTTAATTTTCTTTAATATTTTTGTGATGTGAGTTAGGATGGGTGACTATAAACTAATATGAAAACTGTACACAGGGGAGGGTAAATACACACTGGGAAATTATTATAAGATGATTGTTCAATTATGAACACATATCTCCTAGATGAGAGTTTTATATTAGTGTAATTCAGCAGAGATAATATTCTTAAATAAGTATATGAAAATAAAATCTAGTGAAGTTCCCTGCCAAGGAGGCAAAACCAAAATCTCCACCAGCTGCATGATCTACACAACACTTTCATTCTAAAGAGTACAGTACAGAAAAGGGGAGAGGAGTAGCCCCATAGTGGGAAACCCTGGTCCTGTGGCTGACTCGCTTCGCCTTCCAGAAGTTCACATGCTGCAATTCTCACTTCTGTGGTGATGGTACTAAGAGCTGAGACCTTCCGAAGTCCTAAGGAAGCTCTTTTCTACCTTCCGTGTTTGAGTACAACAAGTTAAAGCCTGCATCCTGCCAGAGGGCCCTCAAATACAGCCATGGTAGCACTCTGATTTTGAACTTCTCAGAACTGTGATTAATAACTTTTTATTGTTTATAAACTACCCAGTTTGTAGCATTTTGTTACAGTAGCCCAGACAGGCAAAGCAATTGTTCACCATCAACAGACGAACAATGATAAGTCATATTGATATTATGTATGTTTGTTACAATGATAGTCCTTTACTTTTCCTATCTTTCCCCCCACCAACCCCTTACTACACTCTAATTAATAGAAAAAGTACTAGAAAAACTCAAAATAGGGGACATTCTACAAAAATACCAGACCAAAACAGCTTAATGCTGTCAAAGTTATCCAAAAAAGTAAAGTCTGAGAAACTATCAAAACCTAGGGGTTATAAAGAGAAAACCCATGACTAAAAGCAATACATCTGCTGTTCTAGAAGGGACTGAGGAACAGTAAAAACTACATTAGATAAAAACTAGGGAAATTAGAGTGATGTGTACTGTACCTGATTCTAATGTTTGAATATTGATTCATTAGTTACAACAGAATGAACCATAGAAAGGTAAGGCCTTAGCCACAGGGAAAACAGAGAGCATGGATCATAATGGAATTTTTAGTACTCTTTGTAGCTTTTCCATAAATCAAAAATTTAAAATATATACATATTAAAAAATAAAGTGAAAAGACTATATTCTCTCAAAATATTCATTTTAATAGTGTCTTTTATTTTTTAAACAGAAGCAAACTGTATAAGGGGGAAAGTTAAATAACTTGATTGAGATCCTGCTATTTGGGTTACATTGAAAAGCCATATATATATAGTATAAGACTATGGAATGTAGTTCATATGGATATAATATTTGTATTTGTGTATACTTCACATGCACATTTTGTATATATATATATATATATATATATATATATATATATAGTACATCATGTATACATATATTATGCATATTCGTACATATATCACACTTTATACATGGTATGGGGGCAGTGAACTAAAGCCATACGAAGTGGGAATATTTCATATACTGTAGCAACCCCATGGGTGCTCCTGAAATACTGGTGTGAATGAGGAGGAGTCTTTAGTTCATGTCAATAATTACTTCATCTAAGAATGAAAATTAAGGGCTACCTGAGATCAAGAATATATTTTCTTCAAAGAAATGAATAGCAATGCAATACAATAAGAAATCTCTACTATATATGGAAAATACTCAATTTTACAAAATATCTAAATCATAGACAGCAAAATATTACTCTAAAATAAGCACTAAGAGAACTTCAACATTAAAAATGACATGAGCACAAAACTGATGTGAATATGCATATCTCAAATTATTATTTTTTGTGCCTTCCTTAGTATTTGAAAAATAATGATTTATCAAGGACTTAGGAGACTAAATTCAATGTTAAGCAGTGCCTATTGACTTTGGAATTAAGTTCAGAGATAAGTGTTGAAACTGTGAATATTTCTCAAAAATAGATTAAATAATCTATACTCATTTCCAGATGATCTGGGCGGGGGATGATCTATCAATCTCACACTGGGCTGTGTGTGTCAACTTCGTCCTCCTGGTTGCCCACTTCATAAGAAATTATCATCTCCAGCACTGGAAGTAAAAGCTGTTCCCAGGACAAAAATGAAGTTAGAGCTACCTGAAATCTCTACCTTTTCTCTTCACCGCACAAAAATTGTCTCCAGAAGACCAGGCATGGCACTGGTGAAGCAATGAGGCAGTGGAGAAGTGTGTGAGTGACCCAAAGCAACCTCGGGAATCTTGGGAGGAGTGAGAAGCTTGCACCTGTGCCCTCCCTGACCAAGGAGCCAGGAGGCCAGCCAGGGATACTATTGCTCTCATTAAGAATGTTCTTCCTCTTCCCTTTAGTGGACAAAGAGGTTGAATCTTCACTAATATAACATACAGAAAAATAAAC